AATATATATATATATATAAAAATATATATATATATATATATATATATATATATATATATAAAACGGGTTAAAACGGGTTAATATTGTTATGCGAAATACATATTAAAGCAATTATTACAAATTATGTTTGTTTTAAAATTAATATTTATATACGGGTTGTATGACGGGACGAGTTTGAATCGATGTTACTAAAATATTAAATTTTTTATTTATTCTTATACTTCAAAAGGAGTTAAAAATTCATTATACTAATTTTTAACAACACCAATATAAGACATGTTGAATCAAATTGATTTAATTAAGTTTATATTATGAAATCTTAATAATTTTTAAATAAATTCCAGTATAATAGAAAATTTGAAATTTATAAACAAAATAAACATAAAAAGTTTTGTCCCGCGGTGTACCGCGAGTTAAAATCTACTATCTATTATTAATTCAATTAATGCTGGTAATATATACACCCAGTTTCTCTTGTGTTAAGGCGAAACATTTTGGTTAATTGACCGATTTTGGTTCATAGGAAGAATTTTATAGATTGAGTGAAATTAGAAAGTTTATAAGTAGTACATGATAAATTGGACAGAGGCGGAAAATAAAAAAATAAAAAAGACGTACTTTGTGAAAATTCATGGTGCTTCTTTACTGCTTTACATGATTATGCTTACATTACTTTCACCGTGTATAAATTTATACATATGTATATGTATGTATGTGCCATATATATCCTCGCATATGCTAGTTAATCCTTGTAACCAGTCTCCATGGAGGTTTGACAAAAACCAAAGTCTTGAACACCAAAGTCTTTGCAATAATCCAAAAACATCCAATTGTCACCGTTTTTTTCTTCTAATGGCCATGTGGGAAGATCTTCCCCAGCTTCCATGTTGATCTTGTCAGCGGCTACGACTGATGCTGCTCCACCAATACTATTGCTCCATGATACATCAACTAGAGGTGGTTCATCGTTGGTCCATAGAATATTAAATAAATCTTCATCTTTATGATCAATAATATCACCAAGTAACTCATACTCATCTTTTGAACTATTTTGATGAGTGATCGTGCTAGTTTCATTTATGGTATTTTTTGTTGATTCATCGGTCTCTAAGCTTTTATCATCACTTCTCTTTACATTTCCGTCTTTCGATGAAGTTTCCGATTTATCGTCGAATTTTTTATCCGAAGATACTTTGTTTAAAGGTTGATGGGTCAAAGGATCGATTTCCATCTTAAGGAGCTTCTTCTTGATATGAGTATTCCAATGATTTTTTATCTCGTTGTCTGTTCTTCCTGGTAACCTTGCAGCGATCTTGGACCATCTATACACAAAAAGAATATTAAGAAGTATGCTTAAAGTATATTGAATATGTTTTCCATTGAAAAAATTAATTGTTTGAGGTGTTGGTAGAGATGTCAAAGTCTTTGTGTCTTGGAATATAACACAAAGGAAATTGACAAATTAAGTTATGATATTCTATTTGGAAGCGAGGAACGTTACTTTGTCTCGAAGTTAATTTCAAAATTTGAAGTAGAATGCACAATTGTTTTTAAATAAAATTGTAGAAGACTTTAGTTCAAAGATGGGAAACTGAATTAAGATACATATCATTCTCTTATGCAACTCATCAATCATACGATCCAAACATTATCTTATATTAAAATATTTTGGATTAACTTTCAATTCTACATCACAATTACATTTTCTATACCATTTACATTTACCATTAGTCAACATATGTTATAGTTTTTTTTTTGTGTTTCAAAAGTATCACCTCGTATGGACTAAAGTATAAAATTTCTACAAATACATGTGAAAATTATCAACCCTCGGAATAACTCGGATTATAAGAATATAATGATGACTATCATGTGAAATTACACGACTAATATTTTTTTTTTAGTATATACTACAAGACTAAACCATGATTTTTTGTTAAAAAAAAAAAAAAACACTTTACTAATGAAGAAGGCTTTAGTTAATGCATGACAAATGATCAATTACGTTCGAACAATAAATTTGGTTAAAACTAGCTCAAACCTGTTTCCAAGAAGTGCATGAAGGTCGATGACAAGCTGTTCCTCAGCTTCGGAGAGAAGACCTCTCTTCAAGTCAGGTCGGAGATAATTAGTCCACCGTAGACGGCAGCTCTTCCCACAGCGACGTAGACCGGCCAGCTTAGGCAAGGCCCTCCAGCAACAGTGGCCGTTGTTCAATATAAAGTTTATCAGTTTCTTGTCTTCCTCCGCCGTCCACGGCCCCTTCTTCACCATAAGCTTGTCACAACATGGCTGCCTCCCCATTAATTTATACTTATAGCTAGATTTTATGTATATTAATTAGAGAGAGATATATGAGACCTTAAAATTTTTTAGAAAGTATAAACTAAATTACGAGGTTTATGTCAAAAGCCTAAGCATCCAAGCTCACCCACCTATATATAACCCCAACATTTTCTTACATCGTCCACCACAACCTTTTTTTTTTTAATTAATAGGAATAATAGTATCATCGTTTTATTAATTTACGTATATACAATTATAAATGTATTTCAGTTGACTTCCACTAAGGTGTGTGATCAGTAGTGAAACAAAAGAGTAAATACACTAATGGTATTTTTGGTTTTAAGATTTGCAATACATATGACGCTCTATATGTATATGTTTTGTTTTTAGAATTTATTTCCGATATATTCTGACCAAAAACAATTAATAAATTGACTCTTTAGTCAGATAAAATGTATATAGACTGTAAAGATTGTAACTAAACGAAATACAATATAAGTATTTATATAGTGAATTAGTGGAGTATTAGCCAGACTTTTTGCACATACATGTAGACTTTAGGCTAAACATCATAAACTATATACTATATATATAGACTTTTGGGGATATAAACTATATATGAATTAGATCACATGTTATTTCATTTACTTGTAATTAATAAACCGAATGATTATGTAAAATTAAAAATACAGAGATATACAATATATATATATATATATATATATATATATATATATATATTAGATGTATATTTATTGTGTGTGTGTTTACCAAAATAAAAATAGACGTATGTATGATGTGGAAATTTCAACAATTTATAAGAAATTAAGTTTTGTACCTTTCTTATGATAGTCAGTATTATATGCATACGGTATACCTAACAATGATATGCATGATTCATTTTCATGTATAAACAATCAAAATTTAAGCATATTTATACATAGCACTCGTACGTGCAAAAGCTAAGTTATGATGGTGAGTTGATTAAAACATTTTGGTGGGTATATAAATTAACTTTAAATCGAGTTCGAGGTTTCATAAAATAATGTATGACCACGCACTATATATATATATATATATATACTTCACAATATTTATAATGTCGATATAAATACTTCTTTCTAGAGAAATCCGAAATGAGGAGTGTTGGAAAACCTAGATTAATTGGTTGGTGAAAATGACTTTGGAACTAATGTGAAATGATAGGGTGCATAGTGCAAACGTGCGAACGTACACGCCTATATGACCAATAGGCTAAAGTTTGAATTCAAATTAATTAGACTACGTTTTTCTTAAGAAGCTTTATTTCAAACTGGAAAATAAGTGGAACACACAATAACATCAAGAGACACTTACTAGCTACTAATAAAGAAAACTTAGTAATAATTAGTATACTAATGAAAAATTATACTAAGTGTTAGAAGTCTAACATTGTCAAAGATATTGAAGTTGTCGGAGATTAGCCGTTGCCGTGGACAAAACCGTAAACAAAAAGTAAGCAAGCATTTTGGTTCATAGTCTTACGTTTGTTTATATACACGTGTGACTAATTAATAAATCAGCTAATCTTATAGTAATATATATTTGCATGTTGTCTATACGAAAAAATAAGAATAGAGACGAACACCTTCTTGACACGTACGTGTACTTGCATAATTAGATCAAATTTGTGTTCTACTCTTTCCCATATGACTTGCAATTTTAGCTATAGAGAGGAAGGTTTCCTAAATTAGTTAATTTTTTCTAATATTGTAAAACATGTCTGATTAGACTGATAGAATCAGTACAACGTTTTGGTTTCGTGTCCCATAAAAAAATTACAGAGTTTTAACTTTCTATTTAATGGATTCAACTAATGAACGTCCATAATTAATCATATCCATTTCAAGAAAATAGAATTTGGCGTTTGGATATTTGGTTCGGTTCTGGGTAGATCCGTTCGGTTTTAGATATCTCAGATGAAGATGAAGAGGTTTAGGATCTATTCGAATATTTTAAAAAAATTTATTCAATTTTGTTTTATATCGGTTTAGCTTTGGATATCCTAAAATTTGAAAGAAAAAAAAATTAAGTGACTAAATTTGATTAAACTTTTACAAATTTAACTAATAACTGGATAGTTTAAATATTTTAGTTACTTTGGTCTAAACATATTTTAAATTTCTAGGATGATTATTGTAATTTTTGGTAATTAAATTATATTAAGTCTATGTATAATTAACATTTTGGATATATAACTATATTTTGGATATCTATTCGGTTCTCGGTTTAGTTCCGATTCTTCGTACATATAGAATTCGAACGATCCGTTCGAATATTTTGTTGGCTTGGTTCAGGTTCTTTATCAGATTAAGATATGTATATGAATGAATATGATGAAAACTGTTCAACAAAGAAAAAAGAAAGAATATGAAGGCCTTATAAGAAAGCCCAATAATAAAGCCCAATAATAACATTGGGCTCAAGGTAACACTTTTATCCTGTAACTAAGCCCATAACTTTCCGAACCAGCGTCGTCGTTTCTTCCTCGTCTTCGCAGCTGCAAACGACAGAGTTTTTTTCTGGCGAAGAGAGAGAGTCGCCGTTCACCGATCCTCTCTTTGATCTTCTCCTTCCAGGTATTGATTCTCTTCACTATCGTGATCTTTACTTTAATTTCGATTTCGATTTTGTGATGCTTGGTGTGAGAGATTCTAGGGTTTTTTTTTTTAATCCTTGTTCTGAATAAATTTTATCCAGAATCCTTCTAAATCGATTTTAAAGAATGAAGATTCTGTATGGATCGATGTGTTCAATGTTGGTTTCGGGTTAAGTCTCTGCGCTTATCTAGTATTAGACCCTCACGCTTGTGTGAATATAAAGATCTTCGAATCTGGATTTGAGTAGTTACGAACTTTTCATATCGCAATTTTTTAGAAACAGGGTTTATGAAACATGCATTTTGATTCAGATTCAACATTCAGTATGTGCATTTGCTCGTTTGGTTCCATAGCTTAGCATTCTGAGTCCTTATGCTTTGAAAGTTTATGTTTAGTTCTTGGCACTCTTGTATGGCGAAATAGCTTTGTTCCTGCTGCCAATGCGAAAAATCGTCTTTTAAGTTTTCGTACCTATTTGTCTCAGCGATACTCGGAAGAGTCTGTTTCCGAATGCATAATGAACTTTTTAAGCTTGACATAATCTATAACTTTACTGAAAGTGTCATTAACTTATGTTGCTCCCGTTTGATTACATATGTATTTGCTTTTGGTTTCTTTGTTTTGATGCGTTGAATCGAAGATCTTGGAAATACTATGAGCACAGAATATCAATATCTATTGTGACTGGTTGATGTGAGAAAGCTTTGTTGTGAAATATTTTCTGATTTTTCCATTGTCACTTGCATTATATCTTCCAGGTTTTTCAAAAGCGGTGATATGGGCGACTTTTCGATTCAGATCAGCTCAAAGCTGATCAAACAGCTAGCTGAAAGCAACGATCAACCAAAGAGGAAGGCGAAGAAAACCAGACCCAAAGTCTCACCACAGAGAGAGGCAGAACAAGCGAAAACACACCAGGATGCAGAGAAACCGAAGCCAATGGCAGAATTACCAATGCAGCCACCGTTTTTCTTTCCGATACCACAACAAGCAGCAGCAAGCGCGGAGTTGGAATCGATAAAGTCTGTTACGAAAGAGAGTGAGATGGTTCTTGAGAAGCTGGAGAAACTAGAGAAGAACATTGTTCATGAAGTGACAGAGAGAGCCAAGGATCTGAGGGAGAAAGAGTTCAAGATCCCTGAACCTAAACCAATGCCTTGTTCATCGGACTACGAAGCGTCGATGAAATGCTACAAAGAGAACATCGATAACCCGCTGAAATGTAGCGGTTTAGTTAGGACTTTCGAGGAATGCGCCCGCCGGTTCAGACAGCAAGTGAAACCTGAGGAAAAGTAGAAATAATAAGATTGAAAAAGACTTTTTGGAGATGAAGAAAGGGAAGAGTTTTTCTTTTTTTTGCTTTCTGAGATCGTATGAATGATTCAGAAGAATGAGATTGTTTCCCTATTACTGACTTGAAAGCAAAAAGAAAAAAGAAAAAAAAAAAGGAAAAAAAAAAAAGGAAAAATAATTAGAATCTGTGATTATGTTCATGAGATCAAACTTGCGAAACTGTGTTATTGATTTACTATTTTGGCTTATTTGGTTTCTATTTTGTTTTTAATTATTTCGAAGAAGTTAATTTCGGTATAGCATCTCGTATTCGTCAAGTTACTATGAAAGAGACTCTTGGGTCTAGATTGAAAACGGGGCCGTGCTTTTGAGCAAGCTTGTGAAAGTATGTGTGAAGTTCGGGGTGGAGAAACAAGAACCAAATAAGCCTTCATCCAACTCTTCCTCTTCTGATTCCTCGCCGTCCATCCGAAACCACGGTTATAGGCGGCTAAACAATCCCTAAAGATTCGAAGCTTTTCATTAACATGTGGGCGATTCATAGAAATCCGAACGTTTGGGTGAATCCAGGGCCGGCCCTATGGTAAGGCAAGCAAAGCATGAGCTTTAGGCCACATTATTTTCAGTAAATTATCAAGGCCACATATTTTTTTTATATAGGTTTTATTAATGTTAATACTCTTATAGTCCTATACAGTATATGAAAGCCACATTTAAAAAAATGCTTTAAGCCTACAATGATCTAGGACCGGCCTTGGGTGTATCCATTGGAGTTTAATCCCGATAAGTTTCTTGATAAAAGTTATGACTTCAGTGGTCAAGACTATGGTTATTTCCCGTTTGGATCTGGCCGGAGAATTTGTGCGGGAATGGCCATGGCCAAGAGAGTTGTTCTTTACAACATCGCGACGTTGTTGCATTCTTTTGATTGGAAATTAGGAGAAGGAGAAAAAGTGAAGCTAGAGGAGAAATTTGGTATTGTGCTGAAGTTGAAAAATCCACTCGTTGCAACTCCCGTGCTAAGGTTGTCGGATCCAAATGTTTATCTTTAAGTTTATAACATGTATAAAGAGAAGTTTTGCAATGTGACGATGTCTAATGTCGTGTAAATTTTAAATTTTATGGATTGTAGTATTGTACGTTGTGGAGCAAGTAACAGTTTGATATATTGCATAATTAAGGTTGGACTAATTCATTTGATAATAATTGAAGACTTTGAACAATTTTTTTAATAAAGTGTTATGGCACCCCACTCCTAGGAAATTGAAATACTATAGTCTCGTAATTTATTGATTAGAGCAATAATTGAAGAGGTGAAGCACCAATTGTTATGGGCACCGTAGCTCTTATTCTAAAAAGTAAAATCTTAATTTGTACTAAATCATACACATGTTTCCATGTGCAATAATTACCACTAATTCAAATATCACACATAATATAATATGTGGATAATGTATAGATCCATTGACCACCAAAAACTTAATGAAATTATACTCGTGAGTCGTGATCATCTCGGAACCAATCATATAGTCTCTGCTAGTAACTTCTGTTTGTAACATAAACAAGAAACAATGAGAGAAGTTTTCAGTTTCTTTACGATACAAAGTCCTAGTGACCACTTCGACTATGTTATAGCTACGATCTTGGTCTCTTCTATATTTTGGTACATATGGCTTTACGCCAAATCAAAACAGCGTTTTCCACCGTTACCGCCGGGACCTCGTGGTCTTCCCATTGTAGGAAACCTCCCATTCCTCCACCCGGAGCTTCACACTTACTTTCACAAACTCGCTCAAAAACACGGACCTGTCCTCAAACTCTGGCTCGGCGCTAAGCTAACCATCGTTATCAGCTCCTCTGAAGCCACGCGCGAGGTTCTAAGAACCAATGACGTTATCTTTGCGAACCACGACGTTCCTGTCGTGGGTCCGATCAGCACGTACGGTGGCATAGACATAGTCTGGTCACCGTACGGGCCAGAATGGCGAATGTTGCGAAAAATATGCATTAATAGATTGCTAAGCAACGCAACGTTGGATTCGAATGCTTTCAATTCACTTCGTTGCCGCGAGACCCGGAAAACGGTCCGGTATTTAGCAGACCGGGCTCGGACCGGGTCTCCGGTTAACTTAGGGGAACAGATATTTGTAACGATCTTGAATGTTGTGACTCAGATGTTGTGGGGAGCGACAGTTGCGGACGGTGAGGAACGAGAGAGTGTTGGAGCTGAGTTCTTGGAGATAGTGAGAGAGATCATTGATATTGCGGGAAAGCCTAATGTCTCTGACTTTTTTCCTGTATTGAGCCGGTTTGATCTTCAGGGTTTGGTTAAACGTACGCGTGGACCGGCTCAGAGGTTGGACCGGATGTTTGACCGGATTATAAATCAACGGGTGAGAATGGATAAGGGAAATGAAAGGAACGGTGAAGATTTTTTGCAGGTCTTGTTGAAAGTGAAGGATGAGGATGACAAGACACCTTTGTCCATGAACCATGTCAAGGCTTTGCTCCTGGTAATTACAATTCTTTTTCTCTTCTTAAGTCATAGTGATTAAAATTCCAAAGAGTATAGTTTACTATGTAATAATATTGCGTGCTTCTATTTAATAATATTGATTTTATTGCTTTAAGTTTACTTAACATTTCTAATCTTATTCGATTTTACTTAACAAGATGATATCATATTACATATTTTAGTATAGATCGTTCAATTTGTATCTTGTTTGATTAATTAGGACATGGTGCTTGGTGGTACAGACACATGTTTGAACACAATAGAGTTTGCAATGGCAGAGCTTATTAACAAACCGGAGATTATGAAGAGAGCTCAACAAGAGCTCGACAAAATTGTAGGCAAAAACAACATTGTTGAAGAAACACATATCACTAAACTTCCATACATTCTCTGCATTATGAAAGAAACCTTAAGGCTTCATCCAACTCTTCCTCTTCTTATTCCTCGATGCCCATCCGAAACCACGGTTATAGGTGGCTATACAATCCCTAAAGATTCTAAGGTTTTCATTAATGTGTGGGCGATTCATAGAAATCCGAACGTATGGGAAAATCCATTGGAGTTTAATCCGGATAGGTTTCTTTATAAAGTTTATGACTTTAGTGGTAATGACTACAATTATTTCCCGTTTGGATCGGGCCGGAGAATTTGTACGGGAATGGCCATGGCAGATAGAATTGTTCTTTACAATCTTGCGACGTTTTTGCATTCTTTTGATTGGAATATAGGAGAAGGAGAACAAGTGAAGCTAGAGGAGAAGTTTGGTATTGTGTTGAAGTTGAAGCATCCACTTGTTGCAACACCCGTGCTAAGGTTGTCGGATCCAAATCTTTATCTTTAAGGTTTTTTTTTTTTTTTTTTTTGGTATAATTTTTATTTTAAGTTTATGTACAATGTGACCATGTCTAATGTCGTCTTATGGATTGTTGTAATCTTTGTTGCGACATTATTCCGGTTGCTTCATAGATTTCCTTAATGATGTTGAACTTTTGAAACTAAATTTTAATAATTTAGTCACAACTATTTACGGAATTCTAAATTTACTGTATACACACAAAAAGATATATAAAGATTGTTTTTTCTGTGTTTATATTATTATTATAACGATTATTATTTAGTTCCTTATAAAAGTTAAATTTGTGATAAAAGTCTATCGATCAATTTTATCATTTCTTACAACTACTAACGTTTTGATAAAATAAAAACGAGGAAAATTATATCATCCGCTCAAATGTTATCGTCTTAAGACCCTTAAGTCCTCCGCTCAGAATTGGCTTACCATATCTATTAAGTATTAACACTGAAGACGAATGATGCTGTACGTTGTAACGTATACAATACCATTACAGATTTATAAGGACAACAACTTAAGGTCCATCTCATGACTTCTACAAACAGCTGTAAACAATGTCTCAAATTTCAACTCTCTTCACCGACAACACAATATTGATCAATGTCGCACCTTACGCAATTCTCGTTCTCATCGCCATCTTATCGGTTCTATGGTACTTCTTGAAACGTTCACAGCATCCACCTCTACCGCCTGGACCGCGAGGGCTACCTATCGTCGGAAACCTTCCCTTTCTTGACCCGGATCTTCACACATACTTCACAAACTTAGCTAAACGTTACGGTCCAATCTTCAAACTAAACCTTGGCTCAAAACTAACCGTTGTGGTCAACTCTCCAGAACTAGCTCGGGAGATCTTAAAAGACCAAGACATCAATTTCTCAAACCGTGACGTCCCCCTCACAGGCCAAGCCTTTTCCTATGGCGGTCTCGGCCTTATTTTGTTACCATACGGTGCCGAATGGAGAATGCTTAGAAAAGTTTGCGTTCTCAAGCTCCTTAACCGCAAAACTTTGGATACTTTCTACGAGCTTCGACGCAAAGAAGTACGGGAAAGAACGAGATATTTGTACCAGAAAAGTCAAGAAGCATCACCGGTGAACGTTGGAAACCAGCTCTTTGTGATGATGATGAATCTCACGATGAATATGTTATGGGGAGGTTCGGTAAAAGCAGAGGAAATGGAGAGCGTTGGAACACAGTTTAAAGGAGTTATTTCTGAAATAACAAGGCTTTTGGGAGAGCCTAATGTTTCTGACTTTTTCCCAATATTAGCTAGGTTCGATCTTCAAGGTCTTGTGAAGAAGATGCATGTGTGTGCTCGAGAGCTCGATGCGATACTTGAGGGAGCCATCGAGCAGATGAAACGAGTAAGGAGTAGGGATGGTGATGATGGTGAATGTAAAGACCTTTTGCAACATTTGATGAAGTTTAAGGAGCAAGAAGCTGACTCGGAGGTTCCAATTACTGTTGACCATGTCAAAGCCGTACTCTCGGTAATGAAATAGTTTCAGTTTTAATACTTTACAATATAAACTTTGGAGGATAGCATATTCTTGAAAACTAATACGTAGATTATGAAGAAGGATATATCTAGAGTATCTTTAGATATATTTCTTATAATTAGCTCATTTATGTATTTGTGTATATTAGATTATTAGGATAAGTTAATTAGTATTAAGATATTCGAATAGAAAAACAAAACATATTGTTCATTTGATTTCATGAGGATTGACTTAATCAAGGTGGTTGTTATATATGTGAAGGATATGGTACTTGGTGGTACAGATACAACAACCAATACTATAGAGTTTGCAATAGCTGAACTAATGAGCAACCCAGAGTTGATGAAGAGAGCGCAACAAGAGCTAGACGAAGTTGTCGGCAAAGACAACATAGTTGAAGAATCACACATCACTAAACTTCCTTACATAGTAGCCATTATGAAAGAAACACTTAGACTCTATCCAACCATTCCGTTGCTAGTTCCTCATCGTCCCATTGAAAATGCGGTTGTTGGAGGCTACACCATCCCTAAAAACACTAAGACCTTTATTAATGTTTGGTCTATTCAGAGAGACCCAAATGTGTGGGATAATCCGACCGAGTTTCGTCCTGAGAGGTTTCTTGATAATACTTCTTGTGATTTCACTGGAACAGATTATAGGTTTCTTCCATTTGGATCTGGAAGGAGAATTTGCGCGGGTATCGTATTCGCCGAGAAGATGGTTTTGTACACTCTCGCGATGCTATTGCATTCGTTCGATTGGAAGATTCCAGAAGGTCAAGTGCTTGATTTGGAAGATAAGTTTGGGATAGCCTTGAAGCTCAAGACCCCACTTGTAGCCTTGCCTATTCCAAGATTATCCAACTCCAATCTATATTTATAAAGACTAAAATCCTTATATTTTTCTTAAAATGTAAAAGGATCATAATATTGTTACTAATATACAATTAAAATAAGGTTCTACGCTGTTTGCAACCATATATATATACACTTTAATTATTTTTGAAGTTGTCATTATCTGAATTAGTTACTGCCTTTGGTATATAAAGAGTAAGAGGTTTCAATTCAACATATTTAAATCTCATTAATTTATATACACAATTTGTTTTGTTTACCTGTAGCTCACTAATTTTCAGGACAGACTCTTTTTTTTTTAATATAGTTGTATGCGACATCTTTATATGTTCCAGACGTGCTAGTGTTTCTGATTATTTCTAGTTATATATAAGAGTTAATGTTAAGAAAATCACAAAACATAAGCTATATATAAATGTGGTTCGTATAATGGCCATCCTGTAAGACTTTCCAACAGTACAAATAAGTTATATATATTATGTTTAAATCTTTATACGATCATTAATCTTTATCTTCAACATCTGGAAGATTTATCTTATTATATAATAAACAATTTTTAAAAGATACAGTAAATATATATATATATATATATATAAATATATATATTATTTTTGATATAGGTGGATCAGTTTCGTGTGTGTTTTGTTTTGGTATCGTGGATATAGTTTACGATAAATAAAATATTTTATTAAGAAAAGAGGTTTATTTTTTCCAACTAAAGATAGGTATTACGTATAGTAGAACACATAATGATGATTCCATAATTTTCATTCATTGTCCTTCTCCTTATTAAAAAAACCTTGAAATTTTTTTTTTGTAAAAAAAAAACTTGAAATATTGATTCAAAAAACAACAAAACAAGCGACGAATAAACTGCCAAATCTAAATGCAAAGCAAAACTCATGCAATGCTTTTTGTATTCCTTTTAATTTAGTTAAGTTACTGATTTATATATTTGTTAATACAACAAACGTTTAATGCATTTGGGGATTTTTGCATTTCATATTGAAAAAGATTTAAAAAATAAAAAAACGTATTTTTTTACCAGATTAATGCCATGGTAAATAAATATTATATTATATCAGATTTATGAAATAATTATATATTATTTACCACTTTTGTTAGGAGAATGTTGATAGATCTTTTGCTATATATATTCACCAGATGTGACTCACATCTCATTATAATCTCAGTCCTTTACCTATAGTGCTATACGTTATTTTGAAGGATCTGTTCATCTTCCAGAGAAGAAAAGCAAAATAATGTTTGCCAAGAAGACAAAACCAGAGTTGGGGTGCTTTAGTAACGTCTTTGGTGTTTCGTCTCATTCTTCAAGATGGAGAAAAGCTTCCAAGTGGTAAATAAACTTGATTTACTTGCCTTACACGGTTCAGATTTTTGTGTCTTCTTCGAGTTTTTGATTCATATGTCCTGTTCTGTTTGCAGCAAAATCCATATTCAGAATCTGCAATGTTCTGTCAAGTTACATCGAAGCCGAAGAGAGTGTATGCTCAGACAATCTCGCTCTGATATAATTCAGCTCCTTCCCAATGGCTGCTTTTCAGAAACTATCCCTAAGGTAATCTAAAAAATTTATCTCAATCATCTTGTTTAACTGATAAGAATATTTTAAACACGACATGCTAATTTGGTTTGCAAATTGAAACCCTATAGGCGAAGCAATTCTATGAAGATGAGAGAAGGTTATTGGCGTATGATCAGGTCGAGTACTTTTGTGCATCCATCTTGAAGGATATATCTGTTTTACATCATCAAAGGTAATTTTTGCTCTTGATATATATTACTTGTGTTACACGGTAACATCCGTAAACCTAAGCTAATATCCTCATGTTTCTCTCTACGATCCACAGCGATGTTCATCTGTTACCAGACGTGACTAAAGAAGCAATGGCCGGACTGATATTTGCTGCATCAAGAATCGGCGAGCTTAAAGAGCTTCAGTACATAAGGTGCATGTTCGTTGAGAGGTATGGTCTTCAGTTTGACAAAGACTGTGTAGATTTGCGCCGAGGAAACGTCGTTGGTGATGAGATAGTCAAAATTCTAGACACCAAGTTGCCGGAAGATGAGATTACAAACATTGTAATGGAACTTTCCCGAAAGCACCAAAGCAACATCACTAGTTCTGCATACGGATTTAGTAAGTGAAGATCTTGATAGTGAGAAGATGGAGAGAGTGAAAAGCGTTGTTAGGAGAATGTTGCTGCAATCAAATCTTGGAGACTTCCCCATCAGGCAAGAGATGGATCATTCATGAGATACAAGAGTTTTTGATTGGGATTGTTGTTTTGTTTTTTACTGTAGAGGTTTCCATAATATCATACTATATTTTTGTAAAAAGCAAAAACAAACTATAGTTTCTTTTGTAATCGTTTCGTATTCATTTATTTTTAAGAAATCAAATCTCAGTAAATATAACTATTTTTGTTTATCTTATATTTTTAGCAAGACTTATCTTTTGATGAAATAATATTTTTAATTACTAATTAGTTTTACTAAGTAAAAATTGCCTTTAAAATACTTATGATGCCAAAACATCAAAAACATAATAAATATCTAGTTTAATAACTCTGTGGATAAAATCTCAAATTTGATAGGCTGATAGCTATGAGGGTTCACTTATACTATAGTTTATGGGCTATGCCATATATGTTGAGAATAGTTTAGACAATCAACAATATATATTATCAAAACAAGTCATTCAAACTAATGATTGATGGGCTTGTATCAAACAATACAAGGACTGCAAGGTGTATTAGACGTACATAATAAGCAAACATACCTTATCGGGGATATGGTATGATGAATCTCAGGATGTATATGTTATAGGGAGGTTCGGTAAAAGCAGAGGAAATGGAAAGTGTTGGAACACAGTTCAAAGGAGTTATTTCTGAAATAACAAGGCTTTTCGGAGAGCCTAATGTTTCTGATTTCTTCTAGTTATATACTGTACATAAAGGGTTTGTCTTATGAAAATCATAAGGGTCTATAACTAATAAAAACGCAAAGATAGCTTTAAAATACATTAAAAAAAACAATCTTAAAATTACATCAAGTTTTGTCTAATGTTAATGCACAAACCTGAGTTATCACTACAACTGTGTAAAGTTGTTCCTTGGTTGCTGTGGGAAATATGGAAGTCTAGAAACAGTATGGTTTATGCACAGCGAATACAAGATCCCCACATTGTTTGGATCATGGCGAGGGATGAAATGGAGGAATGGTATCAACAACAAGAGGGTGTTACATCGGATACAGTTCTTGGTGATCGACGTGGTTCAAGCATGAATCTACGGTGGTGTAAGCCGGCTGTTGGTAAGCTGAAATGTAATATACATACATCTTGGATTAATGACTTCTCATTCTTTGGTGGAGCTTGGATTTTAAGGAATCACTTAGGAGATGTCATGTATCATGCTAGAGATGCATTTTTACCTCGGTCTAATCGCATTTCTGCAGAGTTGAACTGCTTGCATTGGAGTTTAGCTAGCTTGCGAGACATGAGGTATACCTCTTGTGAGGTTTGGACAGATTGTCATGCGGCTTGGGAAGCGATTACTAATCCTAAGGCTTGGCCCAAGTACCGCTCTCAAACAACGAAGATTTGGCAAGTAATACGGGGGATGCGGGAGGTTTCTTTTCACCTCTCTTCACCGAAAGCTAACTTGTTAGCTAAGAGATTGCTTGCAGCGTCACGCGAGATGGGAGGCTAACATCTTACTTGGCTTTAGGCGGTCCGGCATGGCTGCAGGATCGGATTAATAGAGACAAAAGTCTTGGCGCTTAACTGCAACTCGTGTTTCATCTTCGATTTCATTTTACTCTATTTTGGTTTATTACTAGGTAATGTCCCGCGCATATGCGCGGGTTGTTGTATATTTATTTAATTATTTTAATTTATTTATTACTTATAATAAATTGATTAAATAAATTTTAATGCTTATGACATTTTTACATGTTATTTATTTAAATCATACAATAGAATCATACATCCATATCTTTTGAATTTATTCGTTGATTAATTGTTCAATTAATCAATTTTGATAGTAATTTTCTTTAGTACTTTTAAGTATTTTTGATAAAACAATAATATTGTTAATGATAAAAATAGGAATGATAGTGGGAAAATTTAAAAAATACCCCTTTAAAAATACCACTTTTTAAATTTACCCTATTTTCAAATAATATAAAGAACATTATAATTTTGGTCAACTTTGAATTTTATACTTGATTTCCTATCTAAAAACCAATTTGATATTCAATTTTCTATCTATTATATATACTTAAAGGATGAAAAATATAATTAAACCTAGAGATATAACTTAAATTAAGAGTAATATAAAACAACCACTAAAAATGTTGAAATTTATCCAAATATGTGTGTAAACTTATAAATATACACAAAAATTACCTTTATTTGTGTATAAAATTTTATTTAATTCAATGTCTTACAAATTGGTTTGAATATAACAAAAAAATATTTTGGTAAAATAATTACATACTTTGAAAATAAAATAAATATACATGAATATGTGAGAAAGAAAAAACATATAAAGTAAAACAATGAAAATGGTTTATTTAGCTTGATTTTCTTATGGTGCGATGGTCAGAAATCAATATTTTTGAATCTCATCGATAAAGTAATTTCCTTATAGCCATAAAATATTATTATACATATGTAGTATACATTTAATAGTATAAAAACAATGAAAAAATGAAGAAGTACATAAAATAAAGAAGAAATATAATTGAAAACAAAAGTTTTAACCAAATATATAATCAAGCTCTTACAATGATATCTTAATTGAGCTTTCAACCCATGCAAGAACATTAAAAATTAAACAAAGAAAATATTGAGAATATCAAATATGGTGGAGGAGGATGTAAAAATGAGTATTTATAGGATAAAATATGATGTAAGTTACAATTCTAAAATAATTAAATCAGAGGAGTTATAATTATATTTTTATAGTGTGTTAATTGAAGTTAAATGGAGGAAACAAATAGTCAATTGAAAGGTTATATAATTTAAGTTACAATTTAATAGTAAAGTGTGGATTTCAAGTATGAATTAAAGTATATGACTAAATGTGTTAGATATTTGGTTTAATTAA